AAATAGTATACCTACATAATTCGGTGGAAAGTTTTCACATTATTGTCTCGAGAATTGGTTGACCTCGGCGCTTCGCACCTCGGTCAACCCAACCATAGTATCTCTCGACAATAATGGAACACTTTCCACCTCCGCATGTAATATACTATTGCTTAAAATTTTGCTTGCAACTTTGATTTTGACTATTTAATAAAATATTTGTTGACTAGATAGGTACCTAAACTATTAAATCGGGTAGAAATTAGATACTTTTCTGTGTTTTTTGGCCTATGTGTGGCCGCCACGCCATCTTGAGTGTCAGGTGGTTTGGAATGTTTGGATTGCCTAATGGCGTTTCCGATTGGTAAAAAGACACGATAAAAGACAGAAATGAAGAAAACTGCACTACACCATTTCAACCTCAATTTCGGAAAAAGTAACTTTTATTTAGGAAAATGTTAAGTCATTTTCGGAAAAAGTCAAATCAATTTCAGAAAAAGTAAAGTTAATTTCGGAAAAAGTAAATTCAAATTCGGAAAAAGTAAATTCCAATTCGGAAAAAATACCATTAATATCTCTGTAATTGAATGTACTTTTTCCGAATTTGAATTTACTTTTTCCGAATTTGAATTTATTTTTTCCGAAATTAACTTTACTTTTTCTGAAATTGATTTGACTTTTTCCGAAAATGACTTTACATTTTCCTAAATAAAAGTTACTTTTTCCGAAATTGAGGTTGAAATGGTGTAGATCTACTAATCGGAAACGGCATAAGTGAAGAGTGATAAAAATGGCGGTACCCTATGCGTTACCATAAAATCGGATGTGCAGTCGTCTAAACGCATTCTATTTCCCTCACATATCTCTGGTGGTGTCATGTGAATCGTGTGACATATGACATTATCACATACCTCGCCAGATTGTTGTAGACAATACAAATCGAACATTATAACATTAAAGAAGTGATATATTGTTAAGTGTTCTACAACGCTTCAAATCAGACAAAAGAAGAGCTTTAAAGAGTATGTTAACATCGCTTGCACTTTTATTTTGATAAATGTTTCATCCGGCAACATCGCACAATGAAATTGCGAAGGAATATGTCAAGTATATCCTAACATAACCTTAAACGACACTGCAGTAAGTTCAAGTAATACGTGAAGTATTAGTTTGCTCTTCGTCGAATTACACGTTACAATGAAAGAACGAGCGATGAATTCTGAACTCGTCCATGAATACGAAAATGACGCAAGTCCGTAACGAACTAGATTCTCATTGGACGCTCACCTGCGACCCACGAGTTGCGCGCGCACACAGGTATTACGAGACATGTCAATGGCATAGTAATATTGACAGTTGAGTTGAAGAGGGCGCTTCTGTACTTGGCGGCCTTGGCGCTCTTTAAATTTTGGCGCGTGAATAATCGAATGTAGTTTTAACCTCAAAAATCAAGTTTGATGTGTGGTTTCAAGACAAGCTGACGCTAACACTTTTGGAAATATTCTTTAAGGGCCACTGAACGTTTTGGAAGATATTTTTACTTATTCACTATTCATTGTTCATATGTAGTTATCTTTCCTTCTACTCATTAAAACGGTTTAAAACTATTGACATTTATCGCCAAAATTCAAAGCACTCCAAGTTCACTCGCGCCCTCTACAAAATTTTGGGGAACTTAACTGGATATTTGGTGCCATTGTGCGTTCTCAAAACCGTGATGTGTTGCCAGATTGGAAAAACTAACTACGTCACGAACTTTTATTTTCACGTAGGGGCAGGGCTAAGAGGAAAAAAAAAAAACAAATTAGGCAATCCAAACCACGTGACTTTTTTTGACGGATTGTTGGCACACAAAAGATTTTCTTGGTTTAATATTGTCCATGCGTTCGGTATTTTGCTCAAAGAGCAGAGCGTGTTGAGCAGAGCCGTAATCACGTGACCAGCGAGCGAGCAGAGCAATTGAACGCAGTATCCGAGTGGCCGAAATTTTAATAAACGAACGCAAATGAGCCTGCTCCGAGTACACTTTCTGAATAAACGAACGGTAAATTCAAGCGCGGAGAACTCTGATCAAAATACCGAACGTGAGGTGTGTCATTTTCTGTGTTGACTCCGTATTTTGCTGCTTATTGGACAAAAGAAATTAAGGGTTATTGGCACTTGTGTGCCAACCATTGGTGCCAACAGTCGGCCATATTTGACACATCGTTGGATTGCCTAATTCCAGGCTATTGCGGTTTTCACTAAGCAACTGATTACACTAAATAGTTCTATACGTCGAGTATATCACTACCTACGTAGTAGTTAAAAATCACTCGTATACTACCGCATTCGATAGTATCGTCTATCGTCAAGCCGTGTAAAAGTACGTACTTGACGATAGACGATACTATCGAATCGTGGGTTCGGAATCCGGGCCTTGATCTCTTGATCGTCGTTAGAAAAATCATTCTAGAATCAAGAGCCGGTAAAATTCATTATTTAGAATGCTCTGACTTCTTGATTGTCGTCAAAAAAATTATCCAGCTTATAGAAAGACGGTTATGATCAAAATTCGGACAATCAATGGTTGTTCCTGATGCTTTTCTGGAAAATTATCCAAAATATCAACAGCCGATTGAAATTAAAATAGATTATTTTGTGCTGTTGCTCTCAGAACTTGTCTAATGAAAATTTTGACTCATTTTGGTTCTCGGTTCCCTTCAGAAAAACAATTTAACAAAAATTTAGACTATTTTGGTCTCTTGGTCCAGCCCATAGAAAGATGGTTATATGTACAAAATTGGTGGACATTAGATTCATTAAAACCCAATAGTTCTTTTCACGTGGCTCCGGTTTAACTAACCGGGTTACAAAACGGTTAGAGAAATGACATACCGTTTTCTAACGCGGTTACAAAGTGACGTGATGGATACCTACCACTCGAATTTGAACGGTATGTTGCGGTTTGTTAAACCGGGGCCACGTGAAAAGGGTTATTGGATTTGAGTTTCTGCTCAGATCTACATGTTGGAAAGAATTCGTGGTTTTCCTTTTGATTTTCTTCCAGAGTGAATTTTCTGTATCAAGAGGAATAGAAAACTCAAGAGCCTGGAAGAAACAAAAATTGAAATGAAGAAGGAAATTGAAAAACAAGAATTTACACTACTTTTTTCCATAAGTTTTTGAATTTCCATTATTTTCTTATTCCAAGTTTCTCAATTTTTTTCTTAGTGAATCTTCTTTTTTAATTTTTTTTATCCCATTTTGACGTTTAAAAATGACATTATTGAACGCATAACAATAAAGGTAAGTAGACGTTTATCACCTCAGTGATTTAAAAACATTTTAACTCACTCTCGGCATTTTAAGTCACTCTGCCCAACTAAAATCTGGAACCTCAGTGATTTAATAGTTATTTATACACCAAGTGAGTTAAATGAATGTTTATTCATGAGAAGAAAGTTTAACCCACGAGCCTAGCGAGTGGGTTAATTTTCTTCGAATGAATAAACATTTTAACTCACGTGATGTATACAAAATTTTATCCCATTTTAGATAGATAGACATTCGAAAAATAAGGTAGGTACTTAATAGGAATCAAATTATAAAAAGAATTCATATAGCGAGCGCATATCAAATATTGAAACTGGTAGTTGCTAGGGTATAACTAGTTGTTTGTTTGTATTTGTAGCAGATTTTTATACTGGCAGAGTGACTTAAAGACCGAGAGTGAGTTAAAAATATTTTAAGTCACTCAGGTGATAAACGTCTACTTACCTTTGTTATTATGCGTTCAATAATGTCATTTTTAAACGTCAAAATGGGATAAAATATTTTTAACTCACTCTCGGCATTTTTCCTTTTACTTTCCTTTTATTTTTTAAATTTACACAAAATGGGAAAAAATATTGTATACATTACGTGAGTTATAAATGTTTATTCGTTCGAAGAAAATTAACCCACTCGCTAAACGCTCGTGGGTTAAACTTTCTTCTCATGAATAAACATTCATTTAACTCATTTGGTGTATAAATAACTATTAAATATTCGATTTTCCTTATATCTATTCCTGGCACTCCTTATGTTTTTATTCCAGAATTATAATCTTCTGTAAACCCCATCAAAACCTGGAATAAATAAATGATGGCCTTGAAGTAGGTAGCATTAACCTAAAATTTAAGTTACATACATCTTCTAAATAATATATTTTTTTTCTCATTGTTCCAGACGAAAAAAATCGCGTGAAGGCGGTCCAGGAACAGCGTTAACAACTCAAACTGGCCCACCAGTTTTGGATATCATACCCGCCGCCGGCGGCGGGCAGCTCTTCCAGTTCCAAGGACAAGGAGAAAGAAAAGGAGGAAGAGAAAAAATCCGTTTCGAAGGAACAACGACAACAGGAATACGATGCTGCTGTGAAGGTGAGAATAATCACAATTTTTTTGTAACATCATTTCCTCTATATAGTTCTGACGAAGATGATTAATTCACCGAAACGTCGGCAAAATTTTGAAGAATTATTATTACCAAAATACTCAACACTGAATGGTTGATTCTTTTCTACTTCTTCGATCATCTTCATTTTTCATTTCCTCTAAAATTGTTTTGCTTTAATATTTTTTGTTTCATTATTAATTTCTCCCCTCAAATCTTCTACTATCATCTACTTCTCCCAATTGTGTTGCTTTTATTACGGACAGTCCCATTCCAAAACTCGGGTTTGTGCTCTTATCACTTATTAAGATCGTTTAAGTATCAACAATTTCATCAAAGTAATTTTCACTAGCATCGAAATTGAATAATTTACTACTATTACTATTACTATCCAGTCGATATGGGCTGAGGTGAGACCTATAAGCCCATTCTTTGCACTTGTTGGGAATCGGGAGTTAAACGCCACGAATGTTGACTACCTGGAGTTTTCCGCTCGCTCCAATCTCGTACTTCGATAATTAAAACTTGGTATTGCATAAAAATGTTTCATTTATTGAAATTCTCGTTGAGGGGGGACATACTTAGTTAAGAATGTTGAGAGGCAACCCGACTGTTCAGAGTGGAGCTCGGAATCTGAATACCTTCCCTTAAAGGAAGGCAAGTTTGGATCTCCCTAAAGAAGGGTATTTTATAATTTCCTAAAATTAACTTATCCTAACAAAATATTTTATTCCAGGTGTTAAAATATTACGAAACGTTTGTACAATCATAAACCTAAAATTAGCCTAGGGGTTGTAATTCTCGCTATCTGTATTATAAAAAAGGCCTGGGAAGGTACTATGTCTTTGGCGGCAAGACTACTTCCACTTCCCATGGGCTGTATTTGACTTTATAGTTTTTATATTTACAACAATTGGGATTTCTGCAATAGAAGTACCGACTTTCGAGAATTTGATGTGAACAGGACATTGTTTATATAATAATTCTAGCCGGCATCGTCTTTGAACCCTAACAGCATAAAGTATTGTTATAATAAAACTTGGGACTTAATTACACAGATGGTGGAACTTGAGAAGAGAAAATGTAGTGAACATTAGGATTATTGATAATATAAGTAATAATGAATTCACTGGTTCACAACACACTGTACCTACTTATCAATAAATTGTTGTTCAATGCCAGTATGTCAATGTTCCCACAAACAAAAGGTAGTTCGGTTGTTATTTTAGAAACAATAAACTGAGCATTTTGTAGAAAATTTAATAAAAATGTCAACTAGAAGCAAGCTCTGTACCTACTCATGTTAAGTTTACGCCAGCTGTACTTCGAAATTTGGCCCCAAAATCGCAATAGAGCATTATCAGTTTTGACGTTCTTAGTTTTCAAAAGGCAAATCTAATTAAACTAAAAAGCTGTGTAATTCTTGATGCCTGGGAAAAAACTTTTTGATATAATCATTATCTTCTAGGTAACTACGACATAATTTGTGTCAGAGATCTGTTAAGTCCAATATAAATGACGCATTATTGATTCGCAATACGGCTTTATTAAACTTTTTCCGTATCCACGACATGGACTAATATAAAGTTTCGGAAGCCAGAGAATCATTTATCAGAGGCTCGTAGCGCATTGCAGCCTTATACCGAATTCAATATAAGAATGAGACGAACGGAATTCACAATAAAGCTTGCGGTTTATGATGGACAATCTTATATAAACGTGTACTGCATTATAATTTTTTATTTATAAAAGAAACGTCAATGGTATAATGCCTGTATTAGTTTTTAATCTAAAACACATAAATCACTGTAACCAATTCCGTTTAGCAAACTCCTCAATCAAATGGTAAAGTTTCTGTTTATGTTCGACCGATGCCCCTTTGTACTGCAAAATATTATCGTTACGTAAATTTTCGACATCGGTTGCGAGTTCTTTGACAGCAAAAATTGGTCGCAGCATCACAAAGCATTGACATATTACGAACGTATTATCGGCCGCTTGGTTTAGTTCTTCTAGAAAATTCTCCCAAGAAAATCTACGAATGTTTACGCCTAATTGGATTAAAGCTGTAGTGAATGTTTGGTGGTATAAACGGATCATTTCGTTGTACTTGGTTCGGATTATTTCGTTTTTCACGCTGTTGAAGATGAAGAAAATAAGGTCTTTTCCTGGCGACCCGTAATTGATAAATTGGTAGTCGATCTGGAAAGAAGATGAGTTTTAGCAATGCGAATTTCATCTACAACTGAATTCGTATTAGTCTGAAAATGTGAAATTTCAAAATAGATCGAAAGTATTCCTAAGAAAGGCATTCAAATTTTATTCCTGTCATAGATAAAGTGCTAATTTTGTTTTTAACATACCATACTCACAATTTTATTTCGTATCGGTTTTCCATTTTCTCCCAATTTCATCATTGAATTGTTCACCCACAAATCGTTATGGGTAACGGTGGCGAAAGGTTCTTTTTCCATTCTCCTGGCAGCCTCGCTATGTAAACGATAACATTTTTCACACTTTTTCTTCAGCGCGTCCAGATACGGAACACATTCGGGATTTTCTTTGGCCAAACTTAGGATATCTTCTATCTGGAAACGTATATAAAATATTATCTTTTGACGTTTTTATATGATTTGTTTTCTTTTTTATACAGGGAATTCGATATATGTATTTATAATTGGAAAATTTCCAAAAAACTGGCAATATTCGATGTAGCTTAGAACAAAGATCAGTTCAAGATATACCAAATTTAACTTCAAGTTCGTTTAAGTCTATTTACAGGGTGTTTTATAAAGCAATGTCAGAAATACCTATTCACAGGGTGTTTCATAGAGTAATTTGGGAAATACCTTATTTAAAAAACTCCCTAAAACTCCCTGGAACTCAGAGACGGATACAGGCCTTTTGAAAGGGGGGGGGGGGGGCAGTTTAAGTTAAAGTAAGCCAGATTGGGTTTAGTTTTGGCAGCGCATTGTGCAAGATACGGTTTTCGAAGGAATGGCCCATAAAAATATGGGAATGGGGGAACTATTTAGGAGAATAAAGTGACTTCAAATAGGTAGGTACAGGGTGTTTTTTTATGTATTGACACCCCACCTACAGCCTTTACCTTTACAGGTAAAAGAAAGGTGTAAATACAAAAGTTGTACCATTTTGTCTGAATTTTTAGAAACCATAGTCAGAAACAAAATTTGAATGTCAGAAATGTGAAATTTTGCATGCTTCCAGCTTTTTTTAAATGGGATGCCCTATATTTCATTCTATATTCTTGAAGAGCACAATGCCCCGATTCCAAAAATATATATAATTTGTCTATATTTGATTGAACAGTCTCTCATATATTCGGCTCCAAAAATTGTAAAAATACTATCCTACTACTGATTTTATGAACCATTCTAGCTATACAGGTGAAAGCTGCAGGTAAAATTCGAGGTACTTGGTTTCTCTGATAGCATTTTTAAAATTTTTAGAACCATATATGTTGGAGACGGCTCAACCAAATTTAGTTTTGGAATCGGGAAATTGTGCTCTTCAAGAATATAGAACCAAATATAGAGTATCCCATTTGAAAAAAGCTGAAAGCATGCTAGATTTCACATTTCTGACATTCAATTTTTGTTTCTGACCATGGATTCTAAAAATGTAGCCAATACTGTACAACTTTTGTATTTACACCTTTCATCTACTTGTAAAGGTGAAGGCTGTAGGTGGGTGTCAATATATGTATAAAAAAACACCCTGTACTTGAACAATAACTTATTATATAAAGTCAGAATTTGTAAGATTGTCAACTTTTTGTCAATTTGCCTTTCAACAGGATTTTTTTTTTTACTATACCAAACTAGTAACATAATGTGACAAGTTATTCACGTACAAATGAGTGAATTGTTGCGGAACTTATGGGTGGACCTCTGCGGGACGAGCGCAGCGAGTTCCGCAGCCATCCATTCATCAATATGTCGAAGTTGATTAGATGGCTGCGGAACTCGCTGCGCTCGTCCCGCAAAAGTCCAGCCATAAGTTCCGCAACATTTCACTTATTTGTACTTGAAAAATAACTTATTATATAAAGTCAGAATTTGTAAGATTATCCCTTTTAACAGAAATTAGTAATGTTACTTTACCAAACTAGTAATATATTGTGACAAGAAATTCAAGTACAAACGAGTGGATTGTTGCGGAACTTATGGGTGGAGCCCGCCATCTATTCACCAATATGTTGTTCAAGTACAATACTCACCTGTTGTGAATTTTTATCATTAATTCAAAAACCACACGTTTCAGGTGAGTGTCTTATTTGAACAGTTCAACAGTTCCTGTATTGGTGAGTAGATGGCTGCGGAACTCGCTGCGTTTGTCCGGTGCAGGGCCGGCCCTACCATAAGGCGAACTGAGCGAGCGCTCCAGGCGCCAGACCTCGGGGGGCGCCTTCGAATCATTCCTTGGTAATAAAAAAAAAGGGAAAAGTATATTTTCGCTTTGAATTCTGTCTCTGCTTTTCGATATTTTGCTTCTCTGCTTGTGAGCAAGCTTGTGCTTACTTAGTATGAGAATAACCTGTCCTGACGTTGTTTTGAGACGCACACGGATCGTGGGTGTGGTGGCGCCCTTACCCGATCATTTGATCACGATATTTCGGATAGTGATAACAGTCACCCGAAAGCAGTCCTTCAGGCGTTAGCATTAAATAATTGGCAAGATACGTTTCCTTATATCTGGACAGCTCTCCGTATTTTTGTTACCATTCCTGTTACAGTGCCGAAAGGTGGACAGAGCTTTAGTAAGCTTAAGTTAATTAAAACTTACCCTAGCGGTCAACTCTAGCAGAAGAGAAACCTTCAGATCTAGTCCTGCTGTCCATTGAAAATGTTATAGCTCAGATATTATCATATGAGGAGATCATAAATAAATTTGCTAATGCAAAATTATGCAAACACTCGAAAATTTCGTATTTTGTTTGTTCGATTTTTATATTTATTAGGCCCGGTTTATTTATATTCAGATAAACAACCAATGGAATTAGAGATTGCATTTTTATCGGTCAGATTGCATGCCTGACAGTTTATCAGAAGGTGACTAAACCGGACCTAATGGCCGTTTCCACAAACTATTACGATAAGTATTCCCTAAACTGACATTTCTTCATGGAAATCTGTCAGTCTAGGGAATACTTATCGTTTAAGGCTTCCCGAAAATAACTAGTTGGTGGAAATGGCCATAAGTGATATTACCAAACTGGATTATTGATTGATCCCATCAAAGAATGTGAACTAAATGTTAGTAAATAAGAGAACTTTGTACCAACGAACAGAAATGTTTTGAATTTTCAATTGGTAAGATAAATAGAGGCATTGAGCTTTTCTTTGTTCCAACCCGGCAGGAAACCGTAATAATGGCTGTGTTCAACGGGACAGCGTAAACCCGCTAGCGCTGAAAGCGCCAGGAAGCGCTAACTGTAGCAGTTGAACGACCTATTTATATTTCAAGATTTTCTCTAAACTCTAAACATAACCTAACAAAACGCTAATAAGAATTTAATGTTTAATGACATCCGTATTTCCATAATTTTGAATATTCATGTCGAAAATTCAAAAATAAAGCAGCTCCCACCAACATCAATCAAAAACTAGAAGAAAAAATATGTAATGTTAGGTTAGGGTTTAGGATAGATTAGACATTTCATATTTGCGCTAACAATAGCTAACTAAAAATAGCACTTTTCAAATGAGCTAAGTAAGCTGACAGGCGCTTTTGCGCTAACTAGTCGTTTATCGGTCAATTAGCGGAAAGCGCTTGCAAGCGCTAACACCCGCTAAGTCCCGTTAAACACAGCCATTATCGTCAGGATTCTGCGCAAAACCTAAAATGTTTGCATAGAAACCGAAATTCGTATACAGAGTGGTTCCGAAAACGTTCTGGGACGTTTTTTTGACGGGTTGGAACAAACCTATTAAATTAGATAATGATCAAAATCCATACTCGCGTATGCGAATCACATTCAAACTAGGGGCGCCAAAGTCAGATTTCGCTCCATACTAAAAGTAGCCTCGGGCCGGCACTGGTCCGGTGCTAACCAAAAAAAAAGCGTCCCAGGCGAAAAATATTCTGAACGCCCAATTTTTGTGAGGCATTCACCTGTAACATACCCAAAGGTTATGCGCCTATTCTTTTTTTGGGAGCAACAAAACTATTCGCATCGGGTCGTGAGTTTGACATAATGACTAGAACTTATTCGCTTTTTTTTTTTTGGTAAGGTGGAGAAATTTTGATCACGGACACCTTCTCTTCTGAGAGTTCTAAGGAAGGAAGTATGGCGGACATTACAGGTGATTAGGGTGAAACACTGATTCCCTTGCTGCATTGGGCGAGCCGCCACTGTAGTCATAGAAAACCCTATTATACAGGGTGGTCCATTCAACTTGAGACGAGTCTAATAACTCGAGAACGGCGCGTTTTTGGAAAAAAAAAGTTCCAACAAAAGTTCATAGGAGAAGCATAATGGTAGATGGTAGCCTTAATTTTTGACTTTGACAAGTGTTATTTGAGCTTTGTCGCTGTTTTCGAGATATTAGACTGTCTGAAGCTAAATATACCACCCTGTATAGAGAAATATTTTTAATTTCTATTTTTTTAAAAAATTGTACAAGGAGTCACAAAATACGCTGGATGTCGTTTGGGCGAATATTAAAACGCAGCTCTAGAACGGTGCGAAATAATTTGCAATCTTGAACAGTTCCGGAGTAACTTAAGGGTCACTGGAAAGCTGCTCTATCTGTAATCTGCCGCAAACAATCTACAACACAACGATTCAAGGGGTGTTACCGATACGCATTCATTAAACTAATTAATTATTGTCGAATTTATATTTCATTGAGAAGCGAAAAATATAACCGCACATTGAAAGTGGTTATAATATAGAAAATGTATCCTTGGAAAAAATAGTCTAGACTTGTCTTGGGGGGGGGGGCTGCAGCCGGGCCCCCCCCCCTGGATACGAATATGGTAATGTTACTTTACCAAACTAGTAACATAATGTGACAAGTTATTCAAGTACAAATGAGTGAATTGTTGCGGAACTTATGGGTGGACCTCTGCGGGACGAGCGCAGCGAGTTCCGCAGCCACCTATACATCAATATGTTGTTTAATTACGATACTAAACTGACTCACTCAAATGTGCGTTATTCTCATTAGTTTAAAAATACACGTTTCAGGTGAATGTCTTACTTGAACAGTTCAACAGTATATTGGTAATTAGATGGCTGCGGAACTTAATGCGCTCGTTCCGCAGAGGTCCACCCTTAAGTTCCGCAACAATCCACTTATTTGTACTTGAAAAATAACTTATTATATAAAGTCAGAATTTGTAAGATTATCCATTTTTTGTCAATTGGCCTTTTAACAGGAATTAGTAAAGTTACTTTACCAAACTAGTAATATATTGTGACAAGTTATTCAAGTACAAACGAGTGGATTATTGCGGAATGTATGGGTGAAGCCAGCCATCTATTCACCAATATGTTGTTCAAGTACAATACTAACCTGATTCACTCAGTTGTAAATTTTTCTTATTAGTTCAAAAACTACACGTTTCAGGTGAGTGTCTTATTTGAACAGTTCGACAGTATATTTTGAGTAGATACTAGAGATCTCGCCGCGCTCGTCCCGCAGAGGTCTACCCATAAGTACCGCAATATCAATAATCCACTTATTTGTACAGGGTGTTTTTTTTTTTTAATATATTGACACCCCACCTACAGCCTTTACCTTCACAGGTAGAAGAAAGGTGTAAATACAAAAGTTGTACAGTTTTGGCTGAATTTTTAGAAACCATGGTCAGAAACAAAATTTGAATGTCAGAAATATGAAAATTTGCATACTTCCAGCTTTTTTCAAATGGGATGCCGTATATTTCATTCTATATTCTTGAAGAGCACAATGTCCCGATTCCAAAACTATATAGTTTATCTATATGTGGTTGAGCCGTCTCCAACATATTTGGTTCTGAAAAATTTTAAAAATACTATCAGAGAAACCAAGTACCTCAAATTTTACCTGCAGCTTTCACCTGTACAGGTAGAATGGTTCACAAAATCAGTAGTATAGGATAGTATTGTTACAATTTTTCGAGCCGAATATATGAGAGACTGTTCAATCAAATATAAACAAGTTATATATTTTTGGAATCGGGGCATTGTGCTTTTCAAGAATATAGAATGAAATATAGTGCATCCTATTTGAAAATAGCTGGAAGCGTGCCAAATTTCACATTTCTGACATTCAGATTATGTTTCTGACCATGGTTGCTAAAAATTCAGCCAAAACTGTACAGCTTTTATTTATACCTTTCTTTTACCTGTAAAGGTAAAGGCTGTAGGTGGGATGTCAATATATATATAAAAAAACACCCTGTACCTACCTATTTAAAATTACCTTATTCTCCTAAATGGTTTTCCCATTTCCATATTTTTATGGGCCATTCCTACGAAAAACCGTATCTTGCACAATGCGCTGCCAAAACTAACCCAAACTAACTCAATCTGGCTTACTTAAACTTAAACTGCCCCCTCCCTTCTTTCAAAAGGCCTCTGTATCCGCCCCTGTGTCTAAGTTTTTGAAGACACTCGGTATAGAGAAAATATTAAGGGTTGTTTTAGACCATTCTGTTTGCCTTTCAAAGATTACATTACATAGAATTTTCTTAAAAAAATCATACTTCAATTTACAGGGTGTTGCATAGAGCAATTCCGAAAATACCTTGTTCAAAAAACTTCTTAAAACTCCCTGTAGCTTGCAGAGAGTCTCTAATAATAAATAAAAAAAAAAATGGACATTATTCAAAAAATAAAAGCACTTAAAAATTTATGTTATACATTTTCATAAATATGTTCATTCTTTACGTCTCTCAACTTCCAAGTACACGTTAACCAGAAGGACGAAAATAAAACATGAAAATCCATAAAAAAAAACGAAAATGTAATATCACGATTCCTCGTAAAATTGAAACAATGGGATTCGCTATATTACGATACGGATTGTCGTCGTCTCATTTTTAGAGTCCCTCGAGTATTCTTTTACAAAGGAAAAATGAATAAATTGCATGTTATTAATATTAAAGATATAAACGTTCCATAGAAACTCAATATTTTCAGTTAACTTAATCTAAATATTTTCAAAACGTGATTAATTGCGACAGGTATTTGTTTGGGGCCGGCAGATTTATGCATTCTAATATTAGTTTAACGTGTATGTATTCAACAACCATTCTGATTGTAACGTTTACCACAATTTATTTTCATAATAATTAAATTTGAAAATAATTCACTATCGATGTTATAAACGTTTTTAAAATAGCATAAATATTATGTTCGTGTAAATGGAACTTGAAATATGCATTTAAATTTAATATAGGAAATGTGTCTCTATTACTATCTAATAATTATTATACCTATTTGAAGCTGTTATTTTCATGTAACAAAAACCCGAATTCTAAATGGTATTTTTGTATGAACAGGATCATTAAATACCATTATCTAAATAATAATGGGCTTATATTACCACATCCTCCTATTGAATAATGACGCAAATTACAATTACTTAGATTAATAAAATGTTTTTCGCAAAATTAAACATCCTTACCGATTCTTTTTTCATATCTTCGGATACTGACTGGGAAAAAACGTCCGCAAATTCCAAATAGGGTTCGATTTTTTCCTTGAATAGGGCAGGATTTCTCAGTTTCAATGCCAAGGGCACTGCGTGGAATAATGCTAGATTCTGCAAAAAAAATTAAACATGTAAAAAGAGCCATTCAAAAGCAAGTTCTACGATAAATACTTTCTTACATTTTGGATGAATTACCCTCAATCGAATCTCCTAAACGTAATTCCAGTTGAAAGGCTAATTACATCAAAGTTAAGTTAAATTTATTTGATACCTAAAGGATAGTTCACTTTAAAGTTTTAATGGAAAAACGGTAGAAGTTATTTGAAGGAATTTAGGTGCCTAAATAATTAATAAGAATTTCAAGAAGCTTTCAATTAAAGCATAAAGTATACAAGGAAGATAGATGCTCCTGTGAATTTTGTAGTTCTTCATTGAAGGCCTGCTAGCTGGTGGATTATCACGACAAGCCTAACAAAATATTTCATGAATATGAATTCTACGAACTTCTTCTCTAGTCTGTTGTCGTCATCATTTTTGGATATGCGCTTTTTCCAATTATTGCCAGCAGATTATATATTGAAATTACCAGAGAGTAAAACTATTTTTGAGGGCTTCGAAGCCAAACATAACTACTAGAAATTCAAAGCAAATGGGTCGCAGATGAAAAAAATTGTGTTTGCTTGTGTAGGGGGTTAGTTTGGGCTAGTTTTGGCAGCGCATTGTGCAAGATACGGTTTTTCGAAGGAATGGCCCATAAAAATATGGGAATGGGGGAACTATTTGGAAGAATAAGGTGATTTTAAACAGGTAGGTACAGGGTGTTTTTTTACATATTGACACCCCGCCTTCACCTTTACAGGTAAAAGAAAGGTGTAAATACAAAAGTTGTACAATTTTGGCTGAATTTTTAGAAATCATGGTCAGAAACAAAATTTGAATGTCAAAAATGTGAAATTTTGCATGCTTCCAGCCTTTTTTTGAATGGGATGCACTATATTTCATTCTATATTCTTGATGAGCAGAATGCCCCGATTCCAAAAATATATAGTTTGTCTATATTTGATTCAACAGTCTCTCAAGTCTCTCATATATTCGGCTCCAAAAATTGTAAAAATACCATCCTACTACTGATTTTGTGAATCATTCTACCTATACAGGTGAAAGCTGCAGGTAAAATTTGAGGTACCTACTTGGTCTCTCTGATAGTATTTTTAAAATTTTTAGAACAAAATATGTTGTAGACGGCTCAACCAAATATAGACAAACTATATAGTTTTGGAATCGGGAAATTGTGCTCTTCAAGAATATAGAATCAAATATAGGGCATCTCATTTGAAAAAAATCTGAAAGCATGCAACATTTCACATTTCTAACATTCAATTTTTGTTTCTGTCCATAGATTCTAAAAATTTAGCCAATACTGTACCACTTTTGTATTTACACCTTTCATCTACTTGTAAAGGTGAAGGCTATAGTTGGGGTATCAATATATAAAAAAACACCCTGTACTTGAGCAATAACTTATTATATAAAATCAGAATTTGTAAGATTATCCACTTTTTGTCAATTTGCCTTTGAACAGAAACATAATGTAACAAGTTATTCAAGTACAAACGGGTGGATTGTTGCGGAATTTATGGGTGGACCTCTGCGGGACGAACGCAGCAAGTTCCGCAGTCATCTATTCATTAATATGTTGTTCAAGTACGATACTAACCTGACTCACTCAAATGTCAGTTATTCTCATTAGTTCAAAAACTACACGTTTCAGGTGAGTGTCTTATTTAAATAATTCAACAATAAATTGGTGAGCTGCGCTCGTCCCGCAGTCATCTATTCATTAATACGTTGTTCAAGTACGATACTAACCTGACTCACTTAAATGTTAGTTATTCTCATTAGTTCAAAAATTACAAGTTTCAGGTGAGTGTCTTATTTGAATAGTTCAACAGTATATTGGTGAGTAGATGGCTGCGGAACTCGCTGCGCTCGTCCCACAGAGGTCCACCCATAAGTTCCGCAATAAAACACTTATTTGTACTTGAACAATAACTTATTATATAAAGTCAAAATTTGTAAGCTTATGATCATTCACTTTTTGTCAGTTTGCCTTTCAACAGGAATTTGTAATGTTACTTCGCCAAACTAGTAACATAATGTGACAAGTTATTCAAGTACAAATAAGTGAATTGTTGCGGAACTTATGGGTGGACCTCTGCAGCCATCTATTCATCAATATGTTGTTTAATTACGATACTAAACTGACTCACTCTAATGTGCGTTATTCTCATTAGTTCAAAAATTACACGTTTCAGGTGAATGTCTTACTCAAACAGTTCAACAGTATATTGGTGATTAGATGGCTGCGGAACTCGCTGCGCTCGCAGAGGTCCACCTATGGGTTCCGCAACAATCCACTTATTTGTACTTGAAAAATAACTTATTATCAGTGTTGCCAGATGGAAATTTCTGAAAACAGTATAGGAATGTAGCCAAAAAAACAGGAGATTGCTTTTTTCAACAAGAGATTTTAATCAATCTATTTTTCGAAAGAGAAACACGGTACATGCACTGAGTAGTTACAAAATTAGGGGATTCCCAACTGTTTATCGAGCTGAACGTGTCTGCCATTTCAGCCACAAACGTCAACTCTTGGCGTAAAATGCATTAGCCGAGTTTAAAACAGTATAAGGTCGAAAAAACGAATTCCTAAATGTTGTATTCTTATAAAAATAACCTTTTTTACATTTAAAATCGAAAAAACAAGCACAACTTGAATCGCAAGCATTCCATCGAGGCCTGCGGGTGACGTCACCAGTATAAGCTGCTATGCTGCTAATAGTGGTGACGCAGGCCCCGCCGACTCGGAAATTGACGAACGTACGCCTTATGAGGATGAGCAATCCTGTTAATTTACGATTCTTGGGGGATTCCCTCAAATCGAACCATTTGTCCATGTCTCGACTGTCTAGTGTCATGGCAAACCAAACCGATCCAATCTAGAATAACGAACAAAAAAATGGCGGGCAGCTGGATATACTTCAGGCAGAGCTGGGCAAAGCCCTCAGTGAAAGGGCTTGAAGCACTAAGCCCTAAGCCCTTTCTCAAAGTGCTTTCAATTTCAAGCACGAATTCCTTTTTATTTTCAAAAGTGCTTCACAAGCACAAAGCCCTCAAAGTGCTTTGTGCTTGGCAAGCACAAAGCCCCAAAGTAATTTATAAAGTACTCGAGGCACATCAAAAGTGCTTGGGGTGCCTCAAAAAGGGCTCTGAAGCTCTTTAAATGTGCTTGAAGCTCTTTAAATGTGCTTGAAGCTCTTTAAATGTGCTTGAAGCTCTTTAAATGTGCTTGAAGCTCTTTAAATGTGCTTGAAGCTCTTTAAATGTGCTTGAAGCTCTTCAAATGTGCTTGAAGCTCTTTAAATTTGCTTAAAACTCTTTAAATGTGCTTGAAGCCCTTTGAATATGCCCTGAAATCTTAGTAGGTACTCCTAAGAGAGAGAATCTATATATTTTGTATTTTTTTGCAAATTACAATTACAATAATTGTGAATGGTAAATGGTATTGGTAACCAAAATAATTGTAAGTGGGTAATTTTTTTTACATGGTATCCTATCCTTACACATCACAACAACTCAGGCTAATTTCATGAAATTACTAAAATTGTATTACTTGTCATTTTCTTTAAGGTTAAAAGATGGCGTCAAGCGTCACAAAAAAATCAGCATATCGATACTGGTATCGAAATATGGATTTAAAATATTGATGCCATTTGACGAGTATCGATATTTTTAAAATATCGTACCTACCTATTGAGAATAGAAATATCGATAAGCAAAAATCTAAATTCTAAATAAATATCAATCAGAAAATTCGATGGTATGCGGTAAGCATTCCGACACAGAATAGATATCAGAATTAAGCAACAAAACACATCGATTCAAAATTTTTAGGTGGGGGATAGGTTAAATAATGGTCAATTCAAATTTCTTTTAGAGTGCTTCAAGCCCTTTTAAAGTGCTTCAAGCCCTTTCAAAGCGCTTCAAGCCCTTTTAAAGTGCTTCAAGCCCTTTTAAAGTGCTTCAAGCCCTTTTAGAGTGCTTCAAGTCCTTTCAAAGTGCTTCAAGCCCTTTTAAAGTGCTTCAAGCCCTTTTAAAGTGCTTCAAGCCCTTTGGAAGTGCTTTAAGCTTCCAAAAGTGCTTCAAGCCCTCTAAAAGTGATTGAAGCTCATTGAAAGGGCTTGAATTACTTTTTTTCAATTACAAATTATCAAGCACTTTTCTGAAGTAATTGACTTTGCAAGCCCCAATTACAAATATGTAAAAGGGCTTGAAGCACAGGGCTTTCAAGCCCTCAAAGTGCTTCAAGCACTTTTACAAGCACAAAGCACTCGAGCCCTGCCCAGCTCTAACTTCAGGGTCCTTATTCTTGAAACAGGGGAGCAGCGTTCCCAAGAGAACGAGTGTTCCGTCTTTCTTAATGATATGCAACGGATAATTTAAGTAACAAAGACAAAACACTCATTCTCCTGGGAACGCTGGAATAATGACCCAGCTGTTATTCTTTTCTTTCGTGTACACCGCGCTGCGGGCAGAAACGTGGTGAAATTGAAATCGACAATCCTCGTTCGTCGTCGGAACACAGTGCCATAGAGAACAGTGTCGTAAAAGGTCGTAGTCTAATATTCTATTGAATATTCTAGGGAAAATTACTGAAATCAATAGAAGATTTAATAAAAAAAAGCAGAAAAATACAAAAATAAACATTGAGTCCAAAAACAGTAGATTTCATAGTGAAAACAGTAGAACAGGAAGTTGAGAGTGAAAACAGGAGATCTTCTGTTAAAACAAGAGATCTGGTAATACTGCATTATATAAAGTCAGAATTTATAAGATTGTCCTCTTTTTGTCAATTCACCTTTCAACAGGAATTAATAATGTTACTTTACCAAACTAGTAATATAATGTGGTAAGTTATTCAAGAACAAACGAGTGGCTTCTAAAAATTTAGCCAATACTGTACAACTTTTGTATTTACACCTTTCATCTACTTGTAAAGGTGAAGGCTGTAGGTGGGGTATCAATACATAAAAAAACACCCTGTACTTGAACAATAACTTATTATATAAAATCAGAATTTGTAAGATTATCCACTTTTTGTCAATTTGCCTTTTAACAGGAATTAGTAATGTTACTTTACCAAACTAGTAATATAATGTGACAAGTTATTCAAGTAGAAACGAGTGGATTGTTGCGGTACTTACGGGTGGACCTCTGCGGGACGAACGCAGCAAGTTCCGCAGTCATCTATTCATTAATATGTTGTTCAAGTACGATACTAACCTGACTCACTCAAATGTCAGTTATTCTCATTAGTTCAAAAACTACACGTTTCAGGTGAGTGTCTTATTTGAATAATTCAACAATAAATTGGTGAGTAGATGGCTGCGGAACTCGCTGTGCTCGTCCCACAGAGGTCCACCCATAAGTTCCGCAATAATCCACTTATTTGTACTTGAACAATAACTTATTATATGAAGAAAGAATTTGTAAGATTATCCACTTTTTGTCAATTGGCCTTTCAACAGGAATTAGTAATGTTACTTTACCAAACTAGTAATATAATGTGAATAAATTATTCAAGTACAAACGAGTGGATTGTTGCGGAACTCATGGGTGGACCCAGCCATCGATTCACCAATATGTTGTTCAAGTACAATACTAACCTGATTCACTCAGTTGAGAATTTTTCTCATTAGTTCGAAAACTACACGTTTCAGGCGAGTGTCTTATTTGAGCAGTTCAACAGTATATTGGTGAATAGATGGCTGCGGAACTTGCTGCGCTCATCCCACAGAGATCCACCCATAAGTTCCGCAATAATTCACTATTTGTACAGGGTGTTGTTTTTATATATTGACACCCCACCTGCAGCCTTTACCTTCACAGGTAGAAGAAAGGTGTAAATACAAAAGTTATACAGTTTTGGCTGAATTTTTAGAAACCATGGTCAGGAACAAAATTTGAATGTCAGAAATGTGAAATTTTGCATGCTTCCAGCTTTTTTCAAATGGGATGCCCTATATTTGATTCTATATTCTTGAAGAGCACAATGTCCCGATCTATATTTGATTGAGCAATCTCATATATTTGACTCCAAAATTTCAAAAATACTATCCTACTACTGATTTTGTGAACCATTCTACCTGTACAGGTGAAAGCTGCATGTAAAATTTGAGGTACCTACTTGGTTTCTCTGATAGTATTTTTAAAATTTTGAGAACCAAATATGTTGGAGACGGCTCAACCAAATATAGACAAACTATATAGTTTTGGAATCGGGAAATTGTGTTTTTCAAGAATATAGAACCCAATGTAGCGCATTCCATTTGCAAAAAGCTGAAAGCAGCTCCCTGCCCCCCCACTGTATCCGCCACTGAACATTGCTTTTTGATAGGAAAACGAATGAGTGGATAAGACATCAAGTTTTGTTCAGCGGAAATCGATGAAGACATTAAGCTGATACTCACAAAGTATAGGTTTTTCTCATTCTATCTCACATTCTATTTTATTTTATTTGATATACGGCACATTAATGTTTCAATTATTGGATTATCAAAACTAAGTAAGTTTAGAGGCATGATCTCCATTCTCTATGTTATGACATGTATTTTATTTGAGTCATCATAAGTAGGTATGGACTCTGAAAATTATGAGCAAATCATACTTCAATGTTAGAAGTATAATAATCGGTCTCTCTAACATTTGCCCTACTCTATATTATATCTTATTTAAACTCTCTCTGAATTAGAAAGAAAATTGTCTTCTTATCTCTGTGCTCAAAAGACCGATCCAATTTGCAATTAATGGCAACGGCATCGCAGTGTCCCACCGACCCCAATCGATCGGGATAAAAGCGACCACAATTCCAGATCGAAACGTTGCACCGACCACATGGTATAGGGGTGAAGTGCTCTAATTATTGTAGCCAATTTCACACTGTTTAATTTTGTCATTTGAACAGGGTTTTAATGAAATTTTATAGTGTATTTATCTACTTTGTTGTGCATGTCTTGTTACATTTGGTAATTTGGTCCTCAGAAATTGAAATATCTGCTGGTCAAATAAAATTGCAAATAAAAATGAGGATTATAGGGTTGATATTACAAGTCAAGAGATGAAAATATGTATAAAAATGTCCTTGTGGCATCAGCATGCTGAATTTAACTGATTTTTCCTACCTTTATCACTAAACATGCAGCATCAAAATCAAATCCTGTCATCCTATCGAAAATCTGATAATCTTTTGCTCTCAAATTCTCCATTAGAATCACAGCATTCTCGTCAGCTGTAAGCATTTCCTGGTTCAAACTCAATCTGCCGCCGTAAAAATCGGCCGTGAAATCAATCAGACTTTCCACTCCATGATCCAATTGAAATTTCCTCAAAGTCGGCACGATCGTGCTATAAAAACCGAGTTCTTTCTTGAACGTCAAAGAGGACATGAAAAAATTCTTAATAAAGTCGTTTTTTGGCACTGTCTTCGCAACAGCCCGAACGATTTCAGGTTTTCCATCGGTATCATCTTTTATGGTTACGTCCACGGATAATAAAACCGAGCCGTAATTTTCGCCGGCCGCCGTTACGTTTTTTTCTATATCGTACCGGGTAATGGTTTTTCCCGGTTTCAACACTTTCGGACGAAAAACCGATTCGAGGTTTTTAATAGTTTCGGTCATTGTCGGACTATGAAATGACACTGTAAGAGGAACTTGCCAATCTGGGTTATTTATTTATTTATTTTCCTTGACCTTCGTGCAATCATTAAAGATCCCGTTTAAATTAATTATATTTCATCTGATGGGGTCAAACAATTAACATTTTTTATAAGATTTATGAATGCGTTCCATTATTATATTTTTCTATGAAAAGTTTCGAATCAATTTTCCCAACTTCCTTCACAGAAATTTGTGCACAATTTCATGTTCTGGGAAGAGAGCTTCAAGCTCTTCAACAATGAAGAACCATCGAGGAAAATTTATGTTTCCTTAGTCATCAATTTGAGTTTCTTTCTAAGTAATTCATATTTTGTGGAATTTTGGTTTTGATACATTTTTGGTTTATTTTGTCTGGGCTAAACCAATTTGCTTCAAGGAATTAGCACCTGTTTTGATTTCATGAAGTAAATATTTCATGATTCAATTTTCTAAGTTTTGTGAACTATTGAAAGCCTGAGCCACCTAAATTCTAATTTTAGTGATCTTCATCTCACAAAAAAAGAGATCCTGATGAGCAAATTATAATAAACCAAAAATTTTTTCATAGGTTGCCTTAATGACTTTATTTTTTCAAAAAAAAAATACCCTGTATTTTATAATTACTATTTAAATTGAAAATCAGCTCAAATTCTATCAATATACGTCAAGAAATTTTTTGGAATTTGCTTCTATCGTTTGATGTACAAGGCTTGAGAGTTTTCTAATGGCAAACATACGATTTTAGTCTTCTCACTCGTTTTAAAATGGTCATAACTTTTGAAAGATTCAAGCTAGCGAGTTGCGGTAGCTTCTTACCTAGTAAAACGATGAAATTTCAAATTTTTATTTTGTTGAGATTTGGATACTAATGGTCAATTAGCATCCCCCAAACTCCGTACACTAAATTATTTTCAGATGTGAAGCCCAAATCTATATAATTTCAGGGATTGTAGTCCCGTTATTGAGATAAGATTCAGTGAAAATTTCAGCTTTCTATCTATAATAGAAAAAAAGTTATGCCCTTCTAAAGTCTTTCAAACTGTAAATCATAAGGTAGCTGCCTTCTTACTAAAACGATAAAATTTCATTTTTTTTTGTTGAGATTTTGTGTCCTAATGGTCAATTAACATCCCCCAAACTCTATACCAGTGGCGTATTTACGGGAGGGCTCAGAGGGCCCGGGCATGTTTTTTTTTGATTTTTAGTTAGGTACTGAATAAGCACATTAACAAACCATAAATGACTCGGTCCCCGTTTGAAAACCTAGAGGATTTATACACCGAAGTGTGTCGGACCCTCACTCATTGAAATAATTTTCACACCAGTAACCAGGTTCTCGGTTCTCGAATGCAACCCTGGTTCTTCTTGAAATAGGGAAGCAGTGTTCCCAGGAGAACGAGTATTCCGTTTTTCTTACTTATATTATCATTGCCATATCATTGAGAAAGACAGAACACTCGCTCTCCTGGGAACGCTGCTCCCCTATTTCAAAAATAAGGGCCCTGGTGTGCCAGGGTGATTTTGAACGCACTCCAGAGCCAAAAATGTTTGATGAAAAGAAGGAAATAAGAGTGAGAGAGAGAGAGAGAGAGACACCGGGAGATCAATACTTTCGATCCGTGACATTGATGTCGTCATTTCCGTCGGAATTTTTCGTTTCGATTTTTCATTTCACTACCTCCGCTCAAGGTTATTTGAGAGAGGTAGGTTGCTTGCAAGGATGATACACACCTACAGGATTGCCTCGAGGATTGCTTATCGGCCTCGTTTTTGGTAATCGCCGCCATATTGGTGTGTCACCATTTCCGACGTCATAACTAAGTCGCCAGCTGTTTAAACAGTCACGTCAAGACGAGAAATAACATGCTACCTACGTCACAACTGGTGATTTGGCGTGCGGGGATTTGTTCCATATCCTGTAGTAGTCATGTGTATCATTCTTGGGTTGCCTGGATAACGTCATCTGGGGTGCCTCAACATAATGCAAATCTCCTTAAGGCAGCCCAGATGCGTCATCAAGTTACTCATTACCAGACAATATATCAACTTTAGGGACCTTGACCTCCGCTAAAGAAAGATAATTTATTTTATTTATTTTCATTGTTACGTTGGCCCCCCCAGATGAAAATCGTGAATACGCCACTGCTCTATACACCAAATTATTCTCAGATTTGAAGCCGAAATCTATCAATAATCAATATACGTCAAGAAATTGCTTGGAATTTGCCCATTGTAAAATTTCTAATTTTCAAGTAATTTTTCACTGGAAAAGTTTGAAATTTCATTATGATGAGCTCCTCACTTTTCTCTTTCTCCTGGAGAAATTTCAAAATTTTCCTTCTTCCAGTTTTCTAGAAAAAATTAAAATGTAAGAATCCTTAATTTTGCTTAAAAAAGTCAATTTTTCAGAATTTTTCCAGGAGTGATTTTCCACTAGAAAACTTTGAAAATTTCCTATAATGAGCTCCTAAATTTCCTCTTTTTTCTGGAAAAATTTCACAATTTTCCCTTTGCTAGTTTTCCAGAGAAAATTGAAATGTAAAAGGGGAATTTCCTTAAATTCAGCTTATTTTTAACAATTTTTCCTGGACTGATTTTTCACTGGAAGATTTTGAAATTTTCCTATATTGAGCTCCTGACTTTTTTCTTTTTCTTTTTTTGAATTTTCCTAAATTTTGCATAAAAAAGTCAATGTTCCAGAATTTTTCCTGGTGTGATTTTTCACTGGAAAATTTTGAAATTTTCCTATAATGATCTTTTCACTTTCCTCCTTCTTTTTAGAAAATTTCAGAAAATTCTAGAAAAAAAAAATAACTGGAAAAGTCCAGAAAAATGGGAAAAGTAAGGGAAAAAAAGTTGGTTTCGGGACTTTTTGGGATCCCTTCTACAAAATGGCTATCTTGAAATTCCGAAATTTTGACTTGTTTTTGTGCCTATACTCGCTATACCTATAGCACAGGGAAAATGACGAAAATCGTAACTTCAAGCGGCCATAGCTCCGTAACGCTAAGTCGTAGAGGAAAACTGTTCAAGGGCAGATTGTAGAACTTGAGGAAATCTACAAAAAAGCTCATCGAGTCTGACCTCTACGACCTACCATTTCCGAGATATTCCATTTGGATTTTTTAAAATCCTTGGGTATTTCTTTTTCCGCCAAAAAATCAAAATCAAAATTTCCCGGATTTTCTTTCATTGCGTCATACAGGACGTCCAGAGAAATATCGGAACCCACTTTTCCCCTCTCAATTTTCGGTTTATCCAGGAGGTTCCGGCCCTCTTTTATACCCCACACAATGGAAAATGAAAATTTTCCGAATTTTGGAAAAACAAAAATTTTAGTGTATATAGAGGAGGTCAAAACAAGCAGAAAACTATTTGGCATTTTCCCCTAGGATGTCTCCTAAGTCTGGAAAAAAAAAAAAAAAATCCCTGAGGGGGGCTTTTCCAGCCTGACATGGTCTCATTAAATCGGCCATAACTCTGGAACGATTGGATCGATTTCAATGAATCATATTTCATTCGATACAGGATTAAATTGCCTACAAAATTCCAAATTTCCAGAATCTTTCATTGTCCAAGTAATAGACCTTCAAAGTGGCAAACATAAGATTTTAATCTTCACTCGTTTAAAAATGGTCATAACTTTTGAACGATTCAAGCTAGCGAGTTGCGGTTTATATTAGATTAAAAATCAACTCAAAATATATCAATATGCGTCAAGAAATTGTTTGGAATTTGCTTCTATCGTTTGAAGTACAAGGCTTGAGAGTTTTCTAATGGCAAACATAAGATTTTATTCTTCACTCGTTTTAAAAGGGCCATAACTTTTGAACGATGCAAGCTATGGAGTTGCGGTTTATTTTAAACTGCAGATACTTCTTCAGATTAACTTTTATTTAACAGAGAACGAAGCAAGGATTAAATAATTTCTACATACATTTTGTCATCTATCAAAACTGCAATCTAAACACCAGACCGGTATAGGCACTTTTAGTGAGAAAAAATTACCCTCAATCTACAGGGTGTTTTTATAAACCTATAGAAAAAAGCAAATTTAAAACAATCTGTTGATACTTGGTGAAAGATTTTATACTTTTTTACAGACCTCTTGGATCTTTTCAAAAAAATTTGATGCCAAACTAACAGGCTACCTATTTTGTTTTTTCGAAATACGACGAAAGTCAACTTCTAATTTAGGGAAATCAGTAAAAGGCGGTGGATTTTTTCTGAAACTTCTTCTAGCTTTAGAAGGCGTTGGACCTAAAAAGGTCTAAAAACATTGAAGTTATCAAGAGAGCGAAAATGTATTGGTTCCGAAGATATTGATGAGACCGAGGAGGCAATGAACCATCAGAAAAACAAACATGTTGAAAAGGGGAAAAGGGACTATTTAACCTAATGTCTAAAGAGAGCGGAAATATCAGTGCGATGGATGAATATCCTCGTAGTTCTGTTCTCCAAAAAAGGTGAAAAAAAAATCATCATCAAGAAGAGATCATTATTGAAAACGTCTTTTTGGAAAAAGTCAGCAAAAATCCATCTACCCTTTCTACCCAATACAGAAACTTGGTAAAAGCTTCTAAACAGCGGAAATTGCACTAAGAACAAAACTAGCATAAGTTTTCATAGGCTGTCATAGATCCAAAATAACCTGAGAAGCAGAGTACCTATGTTCATAGTGGTATATGGTTGTCAGCACTAAATCTTTACAAAGAACCATGTCGCTCAAGTATCTAGACTGAAAGAGCGAATAATGCTGAACACATTAAGACTCCAAAAACAGAAATTCTTGGATAGGAACGAGAATCAGGAGGAAGTAGCAGTGAAATACAATTTCACAGGACACCTTGCAAGACAGAAACTACTAAAGGTAGAAGAAGAAGATATTTATATTTCGTTTAAATCCATAAAAAGATACAAAATACAAATTTTCAACAATGCTGACTGCCAACGCTATAGCTACTGTGCTGTGCCCAAACACCACTTACTAAATAGTT